GAGGCATCTCTATGTAACAAAGATGCATATAGTAATTGTGTGTCTTTTTGTATTTCTGCTTTCCCTCAGGTTATATCTCTATGTGTTTGTCATATTATGTGCACTAGGAAATATAGGTTTCATACGCTCTGCTCTGGGTCATGTGTGGAATTTCAAGCAATAGTTGCTTTCTCAAAAATTTATAGCAAGATAGAATTATAGCAGAGAAATGGAGCTCATGACAACAGTCTGATATTAAAACTGAAATCTCATGTGTTACATTGTTAAGGAAGGTACAGAATGAGGCAGCATGAAGGTGAAATATTGGTTGTAGGAAGATTTTATGTAAGGATTTGGACCAACATAAATAGAATTGTGTCTGTAGCCTTAGTGCAATGCTTTGATACAATGGAATTAATCAAGACAGAGTAACAAATATGGTCAAAAACTTAGGACCTCTTTTTTTCCCTTCCACACTGGAGTTACAAAAAAATTCATGGACAAAATCAAGGTCTTATAGTATTGCAAATTTAAGTGCCTATTTCAAAGCTTAATCTTCCTCCAGAATGGAGAAGACGTGCCCATCTCAGGGAACTTTTGAGGTTTTAAGAAATGATACTTCATTGAAAAAGCCAATCCTGGCTCACTCTATAATTGCCCAAACTCAGGTTCTTCTCCTTGTTGCTGGAAAAATACACATTGGATGTTTGTCTTTTGCCCTCGGTTTCCCTAGCGACAATAAAAGTACCAGAAGGCCAATCCTCTACCATACCCTCTGCCTTCCAAGAAGCACCAGGGTTAATAACAGGAGATAACAACAACGTGTTAGATCATCAAGTAGAGTGTACTTTCTGCTGAGTATGGTTTGCACCCACAATAGATAGCAGCATGGTAACCCTCAGAGCTGATTCAAACTGCCTTCTTTCTATCCTTGAGTCAGAAGGACAGATATGAAACATGCTACCCTCAATGTCGATCCTTTTTCTGTCTCAAGCTTCTGTAGATATCTCCGACCAAGGTAACAAAAACTAAAGAATTACATATACGTTGAGATTGTCCTTGGACAGTGGGGAAAACACTACTTTTAACATGGCTGCAGCTCAAAATGACTCCAAGCTGTCTCAATTATGATCTGGGAATGAGAAGAGGGCAGTCTCACTGGAGAAACGGTTACAAGTTTATATCCATTTATAGTTTCTCCCATTCTTTTCTGCTTTCAAACGACCTGCTGGGATGGGATATTATTTCCCTTGAGAGCTACTTAACCCACCTGGGACTTTATAGGGGTGGCTAAAGATTAGGAGTGCACAAATTGGGTAAAAGAAGACACAGGGCCTTTTAACTCCAGTTTTACATTATTGCATGTTTTTTTAAAGAGCTTTTCTTAACAGTGTCTCATACAGTACATGGTGGAAGGCAGCATACTGTATGCTTAATAATACTTAGAGCATTCAATTCTTAGAGCATTCAAGCAAATTAAAGGAATACAAGCTTGCATTGGTGCTGATGCTTTTAAGCAGTAAAAACTTTATCTCAATTGGGAAATGTAGACTTTTTAAGAAGAGTATTCTAATGTCTTACAGATCTATTTTTCTTAATCTCTGTTCTCAAGGCTATGTAATTCTTTATGGGGCAGCTGTGTATCTCCAAAGTGCACCAAATGCGTGCAAGGAGAAATTCATAGCAGTAAATTACACTTTAGCTGTTGCTCTTGACCTTCATGTGTCTGAGAAAGTATCTAAAACAACATTTAAAAATGGCTTGTGCTGTGCTGTTTGATCACTGTCAGATAAAAGTAGGGTTTAGGTTTTTTTTTTAGGGAAGCCATCTTCATGAATGGAGATTAACATGCTCAGGTTCAGCAGAGCTTGATGCTTTTACACAAGCAGAACCAATGGCACAAAAACAAGTTCCTTCTGAGCTCTTTAATGAGGTGCCTCTATTTTGCAGAAGAACACATTTGCCATACGGAAGAATTTGCACATCAGTCAGGAGGCTGACTTTCATGCTTCAGAAGCTGCCTTTTAGCTGAGATCTGGGCATTGCATTTTACATATCTGGAAGTTGCCTGGCTTGGGAAAGACTAATATACTGTACCCCAATACTGTCAGGACTGGCTTGATCTCCACTCTCTTGGTTTCAAGCAGGAGTTTTTCCACCTTGTTACCTAGGGTTGCTGAGGATTGAACCTGGGCTAATGCATGCAAAGCGTATCATCTGTCACAAGATATGAGACTTCCCAACTTCTTCTCCAGCATAAGAGCCGAGGTGGCACAGTGATTAGAGTGCAGTACTGCAGGCTACTTCAGCTGACCACTAGCTGCAATTTGGCAGTTCAAATCTCACCAGTTCAAGGTTGACTCAGCCTTCCATCCTTCCAAGGTGGGTAAAATGAGGACCCAGATTGTTGGGGGCAATAGGCTGACTCTGTAAACCGCTTAGAGAGGGCTGTAAAACACTGTGAAGCGGTATATAAGTCTAAGTGCTATTGCTATAAGGATATTGACAGTGCCCTGATGGATCAGATCCCTGGCCCATTTGGTCTAGCAGTGTCTTCTCACAGAGGTCAACCATCTGCATGAGGAAGCCCATCAGTCCATATTTGCACATGGAAGTAATTTGAAAGAAATGCCTACGACTGGGAAGTTGAACAGACAGGTGTTACAGCATCTTAGCGGGGAGTGTGCTGCACTGCGTATGGGTGACATGATTGTTTTTATTGCTTTTTATTATGGGCTGCCTAGGATAGCCGTACAGGTAGTCCTCGACCTGCAACCTTTCTTTTAGTGGCCAAAGTTACAATGGCAATGAAAAAAAAGAAACTTATAACCCTTTTTCGTATTTAACTACTGTTGCAGCATCCCCTCTGATCACATGATCAAAATTCAGAAGCTTGGCAATTGGCATGTATTTATGACGGTTCCAGAGTCATGTGATCACATTTTGTGACAAGCAAAATCAATGGGAAGATAGATTCACTTTACATGTGTATTACTTAACAAACCGCAGTGATTCATTTGCCTGTAACAAGTGTGGCAAGAAAGATTGTAAAACGGGGCAAAACTCACTTAACAACTGTCTTGCTTAGAAACAGAAATTTGGGGCTCAATTGTGGTCCTACGTCAAGGACTATCTATATATAAGATAAGCAGATGTATAAGTTGTATAACTAATTATATCATAGTGACAACACCAGCCCACTGGCTTTGATCAGATTTAAAAGACAGATGAATACCTTCAGGCAGGAACAAGGAGGAGAAGAATTCCTTGTGGGGAAAAATCTACCCATTTATCCAGTCATCTTTTTTCCCCTGGAAAAGACTGGAAGCTTGTGAGCACACATGAAATATTATTTTGGGAAGCCCCACTAGGAAAAAAATAAAAAATGCTTTATGTTTGAACCGGGGGGGAGGGAGAGAGAATGCAAAGATAGAGGGATGTGTTCTGTCACTAGCCTTGTACTGATAATCGAAGAATAGACACCCAGAAGCCACAGAAGCCAAGTCTTTTGCTTGCAGACCAGTTGAGCATGGTACAAAGAGCCCACGTGTGTATAGTAAACACTCCTTTGTTGGAGATCCAGATGGAAATGGAAGTTTGTTTATTGCCACGCTGAAGAGGTTCAGCCGTGACATAATGTGAGTTGTCTGATTCTGGCAGAACACGCTGATGAACCCACCCGTTCTGGCTTCTCGACAAGTAGCAACTGCTTTCTTTATAGCCAAGTAAGAAAAATGATAAGAAAGGGAGCACATATGAAATTGGAATTCACATTCGCCTTTGAAATGAATTTGCTTTTTAATAAGGTTTTTTTTTTATCGTAACAAGGTTTACAAAAAGATACACAGAAAAAGAAAAAAGAAAGGATTATCTAAACATATCACATATCCATCAAATAGTAAACCACATTTTAAAAATTCTAGATTAAAGAAAACAAATAATACCCTATTCTTGTATGATATAAAATCTATGCCAAAGGGAAACATATTGCATTATTCTTTATCAGTAGTTAAAATTGCTTTTCCAAAACAGATAAAAATATTTTAAATCCAATCTTTAATTTCAGGAATAAAGACTACTTTTCCAATTCCTCAAAAGAATTATCTTTCCAATACAGCTATTATTACTGAATAGTCAAATTCCAGAGATTTTGGGACATAGAAACCATTGCTTTCATGGCTATTATGCATCCAGAACAAGCTCAAGAAGCTTCCCAATTCAAAGGCAACTGTTCCACAAAATCAATTCTTTATGGCCCTTTCCTTCCTACTGGGTTAAAATATTATCCAGCCTTCCTTGCATTGGCAGCAAAACATCCCATCATAAACTTGGCTGTGCAGAACCTCAATCCTACCTTGCCTGAGTTACATCATTTAAGATTCCCTATAAAATTATATAATTCCGATTTGGGGGATTTGCACATTGCTACAGGCAAGATGATCAGCTTTATCCTCTGGTTTTACCATCATCCCCTTCAACACATCATCTGCCAGTGGGTAAATATGCATCGTTTGCAGAATGAATGGGAGTGAGTCTGATGTTATTGTACCGTTCTGGAATTTGGAGACTTTGTTTGGGCCTCCGTAGCTCAGTTTGCTTGTCTTCATCTCACTCCCATCTCAATTTTTCAAAATATGGTGAAATAAAGACCCACATGGGAAGACAGCTCCGAATGATAAGAATGACTATTTCAAAAATTCTAAAATTAATGCAACACATCAGATTTTGATTCAGATTCTTCAATTAAGACACAGCCAAGGAGACAGCCAGAGCAGAAGGAAAGAGGAACAGACAAGAGGAAGGGAATGGTAAAGGGATCGAAAGGATCTCAAGAAACAAAATGTTATAGGAAAGAGCAATTGGAAGAGAAATTGCTGCAGTGCCACCTGATCAATGACCCAAAGGGCCATGAAGCATCTGTGCTTTCCGAAGTACAGCCCTGGTCATACTTACAAAAGGTCATCTAGCTTTCTCTTCAAAATCGTGGTTGACAAAACATTACTTTTTTTTTTTTTGACATCTTGAAGTGTGCAGGGAACAATGTAAAATTGAGGAGGGAGAGGCTATTTATATTTCAGTACACAAAATGGTGACTTAAGATTGTTTAAGAAGAAGAGAATGAAATGAGAGTCAAGAGCCTTGGTGGCGCAGCAGACTAAAGCACTGTTAAGTAACACCAGCTGCCTGCAATTACTGCAAGTTCAAATCTCACCAGGCTCAAGGTTGACTTAGCCTTCCATCCTTTCGAGGTAAGTAAAATGAGGACCCGGTTTGTGGGGGCAATAAACTGACTTTGTATAAAAAAGAACACCGCTTAGGGGGGGATGAAAGCCCTACTAAGCAGGTATACAAAAGTATGAAGGCTATTGCTTAACCCATTGTAAGCCACCCTGAGTCTCCGGACAAGGGCGGCATATAAATCGAACCAATAAATAAATAAATATAACCCAGGAGGAAGATGGAGGTCATCAGTTCCGCTGTAAATTTCAAATGGAGAAATGTCCAACATTAATCCCTCAAGACCCTTGCTCATCTTCCTTACCTCTGTTTTTTCAATTTGGTACACTTCAGGAAGCTAGAAGCACCATCAATATGGCAATAGATAAGGAAAGCAGAATCCTCATTCCAGTATCAGGAACTATAATCAGAAAGCAGCTTGAAGACCAAACGTTGCCCTTAACAGCCAGGCTGGATTTTTCAAGACTCTATAGTGGGTCAATCAGCCTCCAAACTTGTGCCTTCCTGGTTCCAAAAATCATACTAACAAGAGATTATAGAAGTTAGAAGTCCAAGACATCTGGAGGACATCAGGTTGCAGGAAGGCAGACTTTTAAGTAAACTTCAGAAATTCCCACAAACTTTTTAGAAGCCGTCTAACTTTCTTGCTGGCTGTAAGTAATAGTGTGGCCTCATGGCGCCACCTAATGAACATTCAGAACAAGAAAGTTGATGGACCATAGGAATTTCATCTTGGAAGGAGAGGGCACCCAGGTTTTCGGGATGGCCAGAGGGCCCCAACTAGTAATATAAGGACAGTTCAAAGGTTTTAAGTCCATTGAGTAGATATATATATATAATATTCAACTATCTCAAATGTGCAAGGTTGGAGGCCCAAAAGACTGCCTTTCTGCTCTTCGATACTGCTTCCAGCATGAGGATTAAACTCAAGCTTCAAATTGAATTTCCAATATGAATAAATAAAAAAATATCCTGCCATGTCTTAATTGCTGCAATTTAGAAGTAGCTGAACTAGAATGGATGGAAATGGTTGCTTCTTGATGTGGAACCATTTTTAGACAAAGAAGAAGTGGGGAAAGATGTGAAATCACACTCTCTTCAGTTACATTCCAAAACTTTTACAACTTTTACATTCATATTTGCAGTAGTGGAATGGACTGTTATAGTTCATTGAATTTTCTCTCATGCTATTCCTTAGGAGTGAGCTTATTACATACACATGTATGCTACTTTATCTGTTAACAGTAACCCAACTTCAGTTTGAATTTCTAGAAAAAAGAAGCTATTTCCTTTGATTTCCCAGCACTTATCAAAAATTAGTGTGCACAGGAATCTGGCAAGAATCAGTCAACTGTGTGAAGCCCAGCTCTGCATTTTCTTTCTCCTTAAATTGCAAGAGCAGTAGAATAAACAGCATATGTTGTGACTAAAAGATTTATGATTGGCATCAAACTGAAGTCTAGACTGCTGACCCAGGTTCACCATTTGAGAAAGAGCTTTATTTTTAAAAATGATTATACAATACACAATTGGACAGCAAAGTCAGGATTTGAGCAGGAAAGAATTCCCGAGCTAATAAGAAAAGTGACTGATATTGCCTTTCCTCTCTGACTTAATCCTCATGATTACTAAGTCCAAATTTATCTTCCCCTTTCCTCTAGAGCAGTGATGGCTAACATTTTTGCCATTGCGTGCTGGGGGGGAGGGGGGTCACACGTGTGTGTGCCCACACCCATAATTTTATGTGGTCCGCCCCTGCGCATGCGTGCGTGATGCCCCCTCCCCCCTCTCCTGGCACGTGATGGCCCGGTAGCCCCGTATTTCTCTCTTACCTGCGTCCAGAGCCTTTCTAGGAATCTGGGGAGGGCGAAAACGGCCTTCCTCGCCCACCCACCCCCGGAAGTCCTACAGAGGTCGAAATGGCTCGTTTGCCAACTTCCTGTTGGCAAATGGGCCATTTCCAGCCTCCGGAGGATCTCTGGGGGGTTAGGGAAGGCTGTTTTCGCCCTCTGCAGACTCCTAGAGAGGCTCTGGAGGCTGGGGACAGCAAAAAATGGGCCTTCCCCACCACCTCCTGAGGCCCTCTGGAGGCAGCAGAGCCTGTTTCCCTACTTCTGGTGGGCCCAGAAGGCCTGAAAATCAGCAGAGCTAAGCTCACATGCCCACTGATATGGCTATGTGTGCCACCTGTGGCATGCGTGCCATAGGTTCGCCATCACGGCTCTAGAGTAACACTGATTTTTACCTTTACATCCAGAATGTTCAAAGCAACCTACAAATTGTATTCATTTATTTAATTTACTTCAAGCGTTTGTAAGGCTGACAAACTTGTGTGGAATGTTGTATGAATTTAATTGTGACTCTTCTAAGAAGGCTGTCCTGGCATCAGATCTAATGACAAAAGTCCAGTAGAAATGCAGTGACAAGAGGAATTGTGGTGGAAATCATGTCTAGAAGTTTCTTCAACTGGTTTGTATATGTGGAGTTGAGATCGGAATAAAACAAAACAGGACCACCACTCTCAATCCCCATTCTAGCCTACAAAACAAATCTCAAATCTTTGCAAAGGCATCTGCACTTACACCAGTTGATAAATCCCTGAAAATGAAACCTCGAAAGACTTTATCTGCTCCTCCTCCGCTTTTCTACAGGGATCAAGCTAAAGAGAGAACTGCTCCTGTATGAGAGCTGCCTAGAGCATCTTCAAAGTAACGGAGAGCTCCCCAGTTCAAAAAACACAATGGATGCACCAGACTATAGATGAAATCCATCGCTTGGGACAGCAACAAGCTTTTGGTATCCCCAACCAATGTAGACATTCAAAACCATCAGATATTGTTAGTGGTATATCTGTAGAGCAATGAAAGGGAACTGCACAATCTGTTGCAACCTTTGAATTGTGCAGGAGCATTGTGTTAATAATCTTGGGCAAGTCCAGTCTCATTGTCCAATCAATTCTAGCATTTCCTCCTGATCGACTATTTTCTCCCGAGTCTTTCCGGCCAATTTGCCTCGTGTCACTTCAACAGCATCAATCTTCTCCCAATCCGAAAAGGAAACAGGGTGGACCCCTATTAATTGGCAGAGAAAGGAGAAGTACAGATCAAAATCCAAATTAACCACAGACACACACACACAAATCTCAGAAGCCCTCAGATGTGCCGAGGCTTCCTCTGAATCAAATTCTGAATTAAAGACACACTCTCCGCACAAAGGACTAGGCAGACTCAAAAGTCCCAGTCAAATCTGATTACTTAGCCGTTTCTGGGAAGTTTCTTCTAATAGCATCACTCTATTTTCAGGGACAAATCGCCTTTGGTTCGTTTAAACATTTTGAATCAATTTAGAGGGAACACACTAATTGAAAGCATTTAAATAAAACGACAATAAAAAACCCAGTTGGGCTTTAAAATGTGTTCCCAGATATACTAGGAAAGGGCCACAGCAAAAGCTGATTCAAATTCAACCACATTGTAAAAAGAGATTCCTCTATTCCTATAAGCCTTTTCCAGGTTTCACATGTCACTGTGAAATCATCAAACCTGGGGTTCTCTGGAGGACAATCTGCTTACATTTCTAAGCCTATCAAAACCGCTGCTTTATATAGACCTAGTTCTCACAGTAATACACCTCTTCTGTGCCGCCCTATATAGCAAAAAAAAAAAAAAAAAAGCAAGGAAATAAAGACTTGGATAGAAAATCTGTCATGTGCCAAGGAGTCCCTGGCACTGCCAATTGCTTTCACCTAGGTAGCAATATCAACTGTGCACTTTGAGGGACCCCCTTGTCCCCCTAGTATTTGTATCTCTGGATATTATGCAAATCTGCAGAAATAAATAAACTCCACAGAGGCAAGGGACTTAATCCCTATAATGTTTATTTAAGATTGCAGCCTACAATCTCAGGAGGTACTTCGGCATAAGAGGTTCAAGCCAAGATTTTCGTAAGCATAAGTACATAAAAGCGGGGGAGGGGGGGAACTGTCAAAAAGCCAAAATACCTTGTCATTAGAAAAAATCTCACATGAATTGCATTCCTGTCTAATATTCTGTTTATATCCCCTTTCCTTCCCCAACCCCTTTATCTGAACAGGCAGCTGAAGAGACTAGCAAAGCCTGGGGACGACATTTGGGAAGATGTGTCCTCAAGCAGGTATGTTTCCTTGAGACGAAGAGGCAAAATCCGGAGAGATCAGTTCTAAGACTCAAGCACACAAGCTCCTCAAGACAGCTTAGGGGGAAAAAAATCCCACTTTCAATATCAATTCAACAATAAAAAGTAAACAACCTGAAAGTGTTACAATGAGCACAGACTAAGAGTGCAAAGACATTTGTCACAACACTGGGAGATCCTGCCAAAACATTTAAGATAGCGATTTGGGTTCTAGATAAGGCGAATTGAAGATAGCCATGCAAACATGGTGCCACTCAGGTTTGCAGTTCATTAAAATACATTCCTTAGCTGGGGTATTCCCACTCATCAAAAAATACTGATACAAAGTGGGGAACTTGTCACATTCCAGTTGTTGTATAAACTCAGGAGCTTCCACCGGCAGAGACAATATTGAAGGCTACTTAATGGCTTATTTTAGTAGCATTCTGCTGGCCACAGATTCCTCAATTGTGCATAAGAGCAAGGTTTCCCAACCTTGGCTGAGGGGTTCTGGGAGTTGACATCCACACATCTTAAAGTTGACAAGATTGGAAAACGGGATTGTTTATGCTAAGCATTGGAAGGAAAAGGGGATGCCGGCTGTTGAAGGGTGGATTTTAAAATTAACTGAATTGGCAGAGAAGGCAAAATTAGCTGCTTTGATTAGAAACAATGGATTGGGCAAGTTTATAAGAGAGTGGAAGTCGTTTGTGGACTTTCCACACGTTATATACAATAACAGAGGTTAAACAGAGGGATTTTGAAGGTTAGTTTTATCTTTTACCTGTTAACTGTTGTTTTTTTTTTACATGTATATAGTGAACAGACATTGGATCAATTCAATTACTAGACAATTAGTTTTCCACATAAGGGACATCTGTTTATGTAATATAATATTTTTTAAAATATAGATGGGAAAGTTTATAACTATTTGCAGACTTATTATGTGAGGGGAGGAGAATACATCAGATTTTTGTTGTATTTTGTCAGCATTCAGTGGGGTGGATTTTTTATGTTTAATATTAGTTATCAATGATGTATTCAATATGTTTTTTTTCTACATTTTGTTGTTGTTGGTATCAGATATTTGTTAGTTTGTTTTCTCTTTCTCTTTGTTTTGTATTTTATCTTTGAAGATAACAATTAAATAAACACGTAAGAAAAAGATTGGAAAACAGGGTATTAGTAAGACTAAGAGGTAATTGTAAAATATGTCACATACACACCTCGGGATTGAAGGATCTGGCTCACTAAATCAAAGCCTTCCTTGGCACTGGAGAGCTGCAAGGCACCAGACTGCAGGTCTTCCAGCACAGACTGGGCTGTGTCAAAGCTGTCATTCATAGTTGTGATGATTACACCTGTGGGTCCCCTCTTTACCCAGCCACTGCAATAGAGCCCTGAAAAACACAATGTCCAACCAGGCAGTTGAGACTCAGTGCTTTATTTTGAACAGATCCAAACAATGGCCAGGAATCTGCTGTAACTTCTTGTGGTACATTCATTCAAAGCCTCCTGCTAATGCCAGGAAGAAGACCATTCAATTATGCTTGCACTAGCTGTATACAAGATGAAGTTTGGAAAAACTAAATTCTTCTTCTTTTTTGGTGGATAGCATAGGCGTGTATATAAGTCCCAATAATTCACGCTGGCCATTCATCGTTCAGCTTTGTAGCCAATTCCCCATTGTCTTTATCACACCAATTTCTACCACGTGGCAAAGCATACTAACCTGGTGCCCCAAGAACTCTGCCTGAATTGTTGGGAATGAGACCTCGCTTGCTGTCAAAGGGTACTGCAGGATCTATTGGGAGGCTTTTGTATCCAATGCTGCTAAAAATCAGGCCAGACCTTAGTTCCTCGATTTCTCCAGTGGGAACTGCTTTCACAGAATCTCCTGCCCCCTGCAACAGAGGACAATGTTAGGATGACCATCCTATAAACCATCTGAACAATCAGGAAAGCCCCATGTTTTAAACAGCATTCAAGGAAGTATGAATGGGATGGGAGCCCACCTTAAGGTGCTATGGATTCTTAACAAAAAAAAAAGTTACAAATAAATTCTTAGCCAATTCTCCTCCTAGGTGTTGATTGGGTAATCAGCTTTATTATCAGGACACCCTCATATCACAGGTATCAATACAAAACAAACAAAGTTCTTTCCACAATGCTACACAGAACATGAATCCTTGGAGACACATATAATGGCTTCCTGAGAGTCTCCCTTTTAAGCAGAGTGCAGGCAGTTACCCTGATACTTCTAATTAGAGTGGGAAAATAAAACTATATTTAACTTAAAGGCAGCAGTGTGGAGGTTGTTGCCAACCTTAAAGGGATAAATGAAGGACAAGGGAAAGTTAAAAGGGTTGAAGGCCCAGAAAGGAAAAAGTTTGAGATCGTACTTCCAACCTGTTGACAGCTAACTGGATCGCTCTTGCTCTCTTTCCATCCATGGTAGGTAACACTTCCAGTGGACTGCGCAGAAACTTCAATCTCCACTCTTTGGATGCTGAAGCCCAGCGGCCACCCACTTCCTCAGGTGGTTCTTCCAGAGCTGTTTTGGTCATCAACTCAGTCAGGCGTTTCCTTGGTCTTGGGATGTCTGAAAATTACAAAAGTATTGGGAAACAAGGGATTTTCCAGGAGGCAGAGTTTACCATTGTGTGAGTGATGCTGAACAGAATAACCTGAAAAAGGATTGATTGTCACCTGTCACCTCAGGCTTGTGCTACGCAACCATTCAGTATCAGCTGCCATGAACTCAAGGGGGGGATGCATGGGAAGGGGGATGCTTCTAGGGAAACAAAACTTCACTGTATCACTCTAAGATGGGCTTCAAGGCTTGGAATGGAACTTTATGGGGGTCAATGATGGGAGGCAACTAAGGGAGGGGAAAATTAGATATGGGGAGTTCTGGCGATCTATTACTGTAATTCACTTGACTTCTAGTAAATTATACCTTTCTCAACAAATGGAGTTAAGGATCGTTCTTACTTAGAGGTTCAAGCTGAGGCAGGTCTGACACTGATTTTCATTTCATTTCCCTCCCTCCCTTCCTCCCTCCCTTTCTTTTCCTATGTTATTTTTGGTGTGTGTTTTTATGTCATTTTTTAAACTTTCCGTTGTCCTCCTCCCCCCATTTTTCCCTTTGTGTTGCAATTTTGTATTTTAACTTTTTTATTTTTGAACCTTTTTTTTTTCAAGGAATGCTTGTGGTGAAGTTAGAGCTGGGTTGACTGGCAATGTGAATGTGTGCATTTATACGCGGAAGATTCCATATTGTTGACTGAGAACCTGTATGATTTGTGGTGAATGTTAGATAGGTTGCATGAGGCAACAAGAAGCATGGACCTAAAAATTAATGTTATTAATATATGATCAAAGTAGTTGTTTTTGACAGAAAAAAATCGATGAGCAATTGCAAGGTGTACATAAATGGCAAAAATTATTAATTTGTACATCTTGACAAAATATGCACTAAAGATAGAAAAATGGGTGGAAGTGTTTTAAGACAAACAAATGCTAGGAGAAAGGTAGAGCAAATGTGTGGTATATTGTGAAGAGTGAACATTTGTGGAAAGGAGCAAAAATGCCCACGTATATGAGCTCATTCCTGCCTAATTTGCAATAGAAAGAGTTGGGGACATCAGGAGAAGTATGAAAATTAATGGAATCCATTAAGAAATAATTATTTAAGAAGACGAATGCATGCTGAATGATGTATCCAGAATACAAAAGTGAGCAGTCACCATGAATGAAGTCCACTGAGGTGGTTTGGTGAAAAAAATCCCAGCTTACCCTCTCTTGGTCAAACCCATGTAAACTGACAATTCATCACCAATGGAGAATGGAACCATTGAGTCCACAAAAAGATTCTTTCTTGGGTTATTACATGTGCAGCAAAGAGAAGAAGCCTGGCTTTTGAAATTAGAAATTAGGAGAAACAAATTAGCGCAAACTGTACTGATGTAAGAAGAAAGGCAATTTAAGACAGTTCAAAGCTGAAACAGAAATGTAAGCATAGAATTTACCTAACCCTCCTGAAAAAAACATTCCACTTATAGTTTGTTTTAATTTACGTTGTACACTTGCACCTTTTGTCACATACTTTTCTGCTTTTTTTCCTCTGATCCTCAAACACCCCCCTCCCCCACTCAATTTGCAGAAAACCTGCTCTTTCTGGAGAAACCCCAAACAGGGAATGGTCCCAGCTCTCTCCCAAGGTTACAAAGCACACTGCATATTCAAAACACTGCAATTCAACCAGGCAATACAGGTGGCAATTTATTATTATTACAAAGGGATGTCCTGGTGGAAAATGAGGGAAAACTAGGAGATACATCTGGCTCACTAAAAACACAGGACACTAAACCATTTCAAAAAATGGCTGCTGTACAAATTTGTCCCTTCATAACAATTCACATGGAATCTTCAATATTCCCAGAGATTGACAAAATGGGATTTTGTCTGGCATCAATCATTACACCTAATGACTAAATCATAATTGCTTTCATTTGGCTTGGATCATTTTGGCCAAAGGATATATTATAAAATATCCAACTTATTCAAGGCCCTGGCTGCTGAAATAACTCAAAACATTAGTAAATTCCCATCTGGATGACACATCTGAGGTTCCTGCCAGCTTGTTCAAGCACAGAAATGGGTGAGGAGAAAATCAAAACCACACTAAGGTAGAAAACCTTTATTCTCCAATGTTGTCCAACAGTACACCTACCCTGTTTCCCTGAAAATAAGCCCTATCCAGAAAATAAGCCCTAGAATGTCTTTACACGTGTGCCTAATATAAGCCGTCCCCAAAATAAGCCTTACTTAAGAGCCTGCGCAGCCGGCTACCTGCCCATTCCGTCTGGTTGTTTGTGGTGCTGCGGCCATGAGGCAGGGGGTGGAGCTGCCCTACAGGCCCTGCACCGGCTTACCTCAGTGCCCCCACAGCCAGGCTATTCACGCCCGACACCTGCCTCATACCAGCAGCACCAGCAGCCATGTGCAGCAGGAGCGGTGGCCGCTGGCCCGCATCTTTCTCGCGGCTGCAATGGAGCAGTAGGCCGAGCGGCGCACCAGTACCACAGCTGTGAGGCAAGACAGGTGTCAGGCATAGATGGCCTGGCTCCAGGGTTTTCTTCCCATACAAATCTATGGATTGAATTTCCAGTCACTTGGACAAGAGGAAGCATGTCCTTCCTTCCATCTGTCTCCTTGATCATTTCCAGATCAGAAAGTGCTTATATGCCGTTTGCTTTTCTTCCTGAATGTCTCTCTCTCCTCCTCACTGGCTATTTTTAAAACTCCTATGATAAAGCAGAGTAGAAGTACAAAGTAGAAAGCCTAACTTTTTGTAACTGATGAAAATCTTATAATGGCTAGCTTTAAAAATTGTCCACAACTGTTTTTAAAATGCTCAGTGTCAACATTGTCCCTTTCCTAATACTAGTTTAACAACCTGATTCTTTAGATATGAAATAATGTCACTTCTGTTCCCTAACCTGGCCTGCTTCAGATGTATTGGGCTAAGCCATCTATCATACCAATCTCAGTTAGGGAAACTTGAAACCCTTGTAGATAATTTATTGCAATTATTTGTCTTTCAATCCTGTCTTTCAAATCTTCCTGGCACTTTACAAGCAATGTAATAACAATCTAGATTATAACAACCCAGTAGAAGGAAAAGGAAAATTCCACCTAGCTTTTGAACAAAAATTCCCATTTAGAGAACGTAATTAAAGGGAATGGTTTTTGGACCATGGGTCTTTATTAACGGCCACTCATTTACTGACTGTCCAAAGTTATGATGGTACTGAATGAGTGGTACTTACAACTGGTCTTTGACATGATCCTATGATCACAGTCTTGGTGCTTGGCAATTGGCAATTGGCTCGCATTTACGATAGTTGTAGTATCCCACAGTCATGTGATTGCTATTTGCAACCTTCCTACTTGCTTCTCACAACCAAAATCAACAGGGAAGCTAGCAGGAAGGTTGCAAGTTGGTCCTCTAAATCGCTCGCACCAACACAGCTTTTTCTCTTGAGGAACATGGCTATGGTGTATGAAGTTCAGGATCTGTAGAACATGCATGTATCCACAACAGATATCGCTGCATGTGGCAATCCCTTCTGTATCTTTCCTGACCCGGCAGCAGCCTCACACAGTGCTATCGTGGCAGCCTGCACACCCTCCGTCACCCAGCACCCCCTAAGATTTGAAACTTCCTGCCAGCTTTCCAATTGACTTTGCTTGTAGGAAGTCAGCAGGAAGTTGTGAGGAGGTTCTCACTTAATGACCGACAATCCTCAATTAACAAGAACAACAGGGCCTATTGGGATTGCTGTCACTAAATGATGCAGGCATGTGATGTTACACTTTACAACTGCATTGCTTAGTGATGAAAATTCCAGTTCCAATTACTGCTGTTAAGCAAGGACAGAAGATTTAGCTGACATCAGATATTCATCTGTTAGTTTCTGCTAGTTTTATCAACAGGTATTTAGCTGATCCTCACCTTTAATGGCATCGCCAAGATCTCTGAAATCTGCAGGATCCAGGAAAGGTCTAACGCTGAGTAGGTTGATCATTTCCCGCAGCTCCTGAAGGTTTCAGAGACAGAAACAGAAGGCAAAAGTGTAGGTGATGCAGGAAGGCTGACATTGAAACACAGAGAGGGTGATAGGTTTAGTTTTCCAAAACCAGCCAAACCTGGCTAGATAATGTCACCCGGGCAGGTATAACTGAGAGGAAAAGAAAAATATCCTGAGTATTATAGCATGCCTGGATTTAAAGCTTTCCTAATTCTGATGAATGAAGGTGAGTATCCTCGTCCCAGATTGGATCCTGCAACATTATTGTTGAAATACACCCAAATTGAATCCTGAAACAACAGCCAATGACTTAAAAGCCGGCCATCAACATCCCAATCTACAACTAAAAAGCCACACACAACCAGGCACCATATAAATACCATACAGAGAATAGCCCAAGGCATACACTCTGCTAGAGAGAAGTTCTCTGAGGAGGGGCTCCAGCATGAGTCCGAAAGTTCAGAGACTAAACCTCTTGTCCCAGTGACTGATCCAGATTGTTTCCTCACTCTGCTTAACCCTTGCATCTATAACCAGAACTTTAAAAGCAAAGTAAGATGACATTTAAAAGCAAAGTAAGATGATATTCATAGTAGGCATCCATCATATGATTTCAATCAGGTGAGCTGATGAACAATCCTGAGAAGGACAGTGCACTCCTACCATATCAACAAATGTGGGGTGAACCTTGGGCATCCTTTCCTCTTTCAGAACCATGAAACAGATTCATTAGATTCAGAGCTGTACATTCGCTTCCTGCTTGAGCATCCAATATGATGGGGCTACTTCAATTTCCAAACCGTATTCAGTGACTGATCTTAACAGGGACCACAATGTGGATGCTTCTTTTGTCCCTTGACTGGTACGCTACACTTACACACACACACACCCAAGTGAAAGGGAACCGAACCCCCCCCCCCAAGTGAAAGGGAACCGAACCAAAAAGAGTAGCTTTAGGCAGGGAGATGGGCGGCATATAAATTTAATACTTTTTTTTAAAAGTGAAAATAATTAATAGTCATATCTTGTAGAGAGTATAGGGAAGAACCTTGAGCAAACAGGAGGAAGAGCTGCTATCAGTACAACAGTCAGATAAGAGGTCTTGAGCTCAGCAAGAAAGTAATATGAAAAAAACCTCTTCCTGGTGCACACAAAGATAAAATGGAAGCGGGGGGAAGCACATTCAGACTTACAGTGTCTGTCACTATAGCCATTACAATAAATGTAAGTCTGAACTGTATCTATTTCTTAGTTTGGTCTATCTTGTTGGGCTGACAAACATGCATACACTTATCCCCTAAGTATTTCTCAATGTTTATATTGTCAATTACAGTATCAGTCAGCAGCAGTTTTACAGAGGGCTTCAGGGTGACACTTTGGAGTTGGGTGGGCTTTCAGTGGCCCCCTTCTTACACATTTCTGTCTTAATGTGAATTTGTCTTTGTAGAACAAACAACCTTACTGGAGGTCAAGACGTGTTACTGAACTACCCTTCTTCCTTTTCTTTCTTTTACCTTTATGGTGAAAGCCACCTGGAGGGGACCCCTTCTGCCAATAAGATACACCCGTCTGACTTTACTGCTGGCCAAGGCTGAGAAGGACTCTTCAGTGATGTCAGTTTTCTAGAAGGAGGGAGGAAGGAACATGGATTAGGGCAGGCAACATGGAACGAGCAGCCATCTGCTCAAATGAATTGCACTCAACACAAAGACCTTCTCTCAGGTTAATGCCATAGTAATGGAACAGTTTGGTACGACAGCATGCATCATTTTCGGGCAATTTTTCACAATGCTGCATCTGTTGACAACACATCAACACTGTGATGGAAAGGGAAAGGGAAACTGGTGAAAAGGAGAAAACAGGAAGGGGGAGAGGCAACACTGATGGGAATTACTTATTAATGTGAGAAAAAAAGGCATTAACACGCGGAAATAACAGCAAATTGAACACTTGATGCATTTATTACCAATATTTTAATCTCATTTTCCTGCTTTAAAAAGAATTCAAGCAGCTAGCAACGTACATAAAGCAGGCTTAAAGCCAACATTTTTAAGTTTCAGTAAAGAGATAACATCTAAAACTTCCAGGCAATCACTTTCATGTATTTTCTGCCTCCAAAGCCTAAAAAAAAGCAGCCTCAGGTCTGGGGAGAAACAGATAAAGGTGGAAGATCAATCTGGCCTCAGGTTTGCAGTTTTATCCCCTTCTACTTGAAGGTAGGAATGTGGTGGCTCAGTGGCTAAGACGCTGAGCTTGTCAATCAGAAAGGTCAGCAGTTCAGCGGTTCAAATCCCTAGTGCTGCATAACGGGGTGAGCTCCCGTTACGTGTCCCAGCTTCTGCCAACTTAGCAGTTTGAAAGCACGTAAAAAATGCAAGTAGAAAAATAGGGAAATTAACAGCGTTCCGTGCGCCTTTGGTGTTTAGTCATGCCAGCCACATGACCACAGAGACGTCTTCGGACAGCACTGGCTCTTCGGCTTTGAAACGGAGATGAGCACCGCTCCCTAGAGTCAGGAACGACTAGCACATATGTGCGAGGGGAACCTTTACCTTTACTTGAAGATATAAGAAACTTGGGAGTTCATGGTGGCATTTCCTAGAGCCAAAAACTGTTCACTGCTCCCAAGAATTCCCGCATCAGAGGGAGAAAGAGAAGCAAAAATTGCTCCACCACCTTAAGGCAAAAAAGAGGGAAGGCCGAGGAAAAGCAGGGAAAGAGGAGAGAATCATGCCCTTAAAGAAGGAAAAGCAGCCGAATATGAAGCAAACCGGAAGTCTTCTCCTGAAGGACTTTGGACGAATGATTCACATGCAGCAACCCCACTCCTACAGCAGGAGATGCAAGAGGTACTCCTCTCCCCTCCAATAAAACAGACAAGTGTTCACCTGAAATGCAAGACTCTAGGATGGCTACAGTCAGGTAGGTCTTTGAATCAGGGATCCCACCCACAACCCTTCATTACCTGAAAGGTTATTTTCTGGCAGGTTGATAGCAAACCTCATTGTTTGGCTCCCCACCATCATCCAACACTCTAGGGCTCGTTCACAACCTACCCGAAGAATTTCAAGAGGCGATAGGAGAATCCGTGCAATGTCCAGCGCCACATTCCCATGACCTAGGATGACTGCTGTCTCACTGTTCAAGTCTGGCTTCAGCTAGAACAACAAAGAGACATTTCACAGTAAGCCTTCAAAACTTATGCCTCCCCAGGAATTCTAAAGGGTCCGATTGTCCTCAGCGCTATAACACACTGCAAGAAGGAAAATTGCTTTACAGCCTGCAAATCAGTAGCTCATTCCAGTTTTTTGTCCAAGGCAGTCAGCTACCAGAAGTTTTTCCTTATAATTTCAGGGCCGGCTTGAGATGCTGAAAGCTCTTTCATATCCTTTAAGATGCACCATGCTACAGATTCTATCCAATCCCACAGAACGCACGGGAAAACATTTCTACTTTCAGAAGATGTCTCGCAGGGAAATAGCATTGTAAGGCGAGGAAAAGTTACCAGAACAAGGCTATTTTCCCTTCATATTTATCACTTCTTCCTAGGGAAAAGTATGTGGGATGTGCTGTTTAATAAGGAAATACCCCTTCCCAGTCATTTCTGAGTTTATCATGCCAATACTACTTATTTGAAGAGCACTGAAGGGCCAAAACTGCCCAGCAGCTTCCATTATTTTTACAGTAACAACTATTCACGAATGAAGTTGCTTGGCAAAAGTGGAGGGAACATAAGCACGTCCACTGCAAAGGCTGCTGTGCCCGTGTTCCACACCTGATGGCAAACACTCCTACAAGCATCTTCATTTTTCTTTTATCTCAAGCCCCAGAGTTTCTCTTCTAGCCTTTTGATGGCAGATGAAAGAGAAGATATGCAAACAGGTTCGCAGTCGTAAACCATTCTGGATTCAATTTGGTATCTATGTGTTCTTTTCCAACTGCAGGTCTCTCCCCTGGATGCTTGAGCAGGTGGCAACCTTCGAGAGGTGGAAGTGAGATGACACTAAAATCCTTACATTTCTGTTCTCCGGTAAGCCATTGTACCATCCTACAAATGTTCTCGCTGTGTAGACGCCTTCAAGGTCCTCCCCAGGAATTCCAAGCGTCCTGTTGTCCTCAGCGCCATAACACTGCAAGAAGAATGGAAATAAGCTTTATAGCAGGGGTCTCCAACCTTGGCAACTTTAAGCCTGGCAGACTTCAACTCCCAGAATTCCCCAACCAGCAAAGCTGGCTAGGGAATTCTGGGGATTGAAGTCCGCCAGGCTTAAAGTTACCAAGGTTGGAGACCCCTACTTTACAGCATGCAAATCAGTGGCTCAAATACATATTATACAGCCTATTTTCTGAGACAGCCTTTCTTCCCACCCCCACCCCCCAACAAATACATAACTGTGGCACAATAAAGGTCAGGAATAGTTTCCATTATAGTTGAAAATCCCCATGAGTGTTGCCGGAGCACTGAAAGGCCATTTATTATGTCCCTCAATTTAAGGTCAATCTGCTGATTACAAAACTCTCAGATTTTTATATGCCACTATTATATTGGTTGTGTATTACAGATACTGCTCTCTCAAGCAAATGGGTAGAGGTGTTACAGTATTGTTCACTGTTCTTGGCTTTTTAACTGACAGGGCTGAGCCAAGATGGTATAAGACAATGAACGGGACAATTTTTGGAGGAGTTCAGGAGGGAGGCCTCTGTACTGAAGGAAGCAGAGAAGGGAGTAGCTAGGCCTGTCTCTTTGGCCACAGCAAAGGTGGGAAAGCATAAGGTGAGGTTTGAGGGGCTTTTTGGGGAGGGGGGCAGAGGTGGGTTTCAGCAGATTCTGACCAGTTCTGGAAAACCAGTAGCGGAAATTTTGAGTAGTTAGGAGAACCGGTAGTAAAAATTCTGACTGGCCCCGCCCCCATCTATTCTCTGCCTTCCGAGTCCCAGCTGATTGGGAAGAAATGGGGATTTTGCAGTAACCTTCCCCTGGAGTGGGGTGGGAATGGAGATTTTACAGTATCCTTCCCCTGGAGTGGAGTGGGAATGGAGATTTTACAGTATCCTTCCCCTGCCATGCCCACCAAGCCATGCCACACTGACCAAGCCACGCCCACAGAACCGTTAGTAAAAAAATTTGAAACCCACCACTGGAGGGGGAGGTGCAATAAAGGCAACAGCAACAAAGGTAGATATTGGGCTCATTCATGCTATTAACAACTTGCTGCTCTTATGTCCTACATCTTGAATTGTTTTTTTTTTTCCAGGAGAGGAATAAGCCACACTGATTTGCAGCTATGGGATGCAGAAACTCCATCGTCTTTTGCAGTTGGCTGTCCTTCTGGAAAGTTGTACTTTAACTCTCCTGATGCAGATCAGAGCCCTGGTATCTATATAAGCATTTTCCCTTTCCCTTTTACTTGTTTAATCATTTAATTGCTCATATCACAGGAGGTATTTTCAATCACGAGGGACTCTGGATGCATTATGTAAGATCTAGATGAAATACAGAGATAGATTTTTTTCCCCAAAAACCCGTACGCCTTTAAAATGGCAAGTTACAACAGAGGTTATTAGAACATGCTATGGGGATTGTGCCAGAGATTTCATTTTCATTTTGCAAAATTGTGTATATCCCTGCTAAGCCTCCAAAGGAGGTACTTTGCAACACATGGAAGCAAGGACATACTTGTCTTTGAATTATTAAAGCAACCACATCTTTTGTTTCACAAGGCTGCTCAGAGAGTCATCTCCACCTGCCTCTGCATAGACTGTACATACACAGGCGCTTGGCTCACATGCAAGGGAAAACTGCTTATATAAGCCTCGGTGCCAATTGTTAGGTCTGCCTCAGTATAATGTATAACTTCAGTAACTGTAGTTTGTTTATCGGGACTTGTATCTTTATGTCATGCCACAAGGATTTGTTCAACAAGCTTTGACTGAAACAAGCTGCGACCCATTGCTGCAGTCATACCTCATGCTAAGCCCTGATGAGATTGGGTTGTTGCACAGAAAAATATATGAATCCCTCTGTTAGGATTTGTGAACATATCCCTTATGATTTGGTGAAGAAACATGACTGAAAAAATTACATTTAGGCAAGATTTGTGAGCTCAGCCAAAAATTCAACGGCAAAGAAACTCTTAAGCCTAAATCGAATTAAACACATCACAGCTTAGCAGGATATGTGAACCAGGCTTAGTGAGTCCGTTTTGTCTATTTCAGCTAGATCCAAACATCAGGATTCAAGGCAGAGCTGTGAAGAACTCAGTCCCACATCTGATGGGATGATGGTCCAGGATTTTGCAATGCTGGTCTGTGTATTTATTTAACAACATCGCTAACCTGGCCCAATCCTAATGGATGGCAGAAAAGAAAAAATATATATCCCATAAGCAAAGTATAACAAACTAAACCTAATACAACTGTTTTCTTATACTATCTATGATAGTGGCCTCAATATGCGGACAGAAATATATTCCAGCCGTTCCTGGAATATAGGTAGTCCTCAATTTACGACCACAATTGAGCCCTACATTTCCAGTGCTATGGAAGACAGTTGTTAAGTGAATTATGCTCCATTTTATGACCTTTCTGCCACAGTTGTTAAATCACTGCAGTTGTTAAGTTAATAATGTGGCTGCTAATTGAATCTGTCTTTCTCATTGACAGAAGGTCGCAAAAGGTGATGACATGACTCCGGAACATTGCAACCGTCATAAATACATGCCAGTCGCTAAGCATCTGAATTTTGATCACATGACCGTGGGGATGCTGCAAGGATTATAAATGTGAAAAACGGTCATAAGTCACTTTTTTTTAGTGCCATTGTAACTTTGAACAGTAATTAACCGAATGGTTGTAAATCGAGGACTACTCTATAATAAAAAACAACATATGCTTTGATGTATCACTCTTGACATACCTTCATGTTCTTACAAATGCTATTCCTTCTCTTGAGGCTATTAAAACCACCGCCAAGAACACTTACCAAGACCACTGCATGATAGGCCGCCTGCAGCTCCTCCACAGTTACATCCTTCCCCACAGTCACATTCCCAGAAAAGGAGCAGCGGTCAGAGTGGGCTGTCTGGATAAATGTGTTGATCACGTTCTGGGGAGAGAGATCAAGAGAGGTTCCCTCTGAAAGCCATCTCCTTGCCTCCAGTGGCTAAGCGCCCAGGCAGGAGACTACAGCAAAAGAACGAGGCCAGGCCTGATGACTTTGCAACATTTCAAGCAGCAGCTCACTTTGCGATTCAGGCTGGCACCAGGCCAGTCAGCTCCATTAAAATAGCACATTTTTCTTCCAGATACAGGCACAGGGAGAAGGTAATATGGCCTATTGCCAGCGGTGGACATTCTAGTTGTAGACAAGGTCATAACTAGCTTACGGGAAAACGCAGCGCATTATCATCAGGTTTACCTGTCCAAACTCAAGTGACCTTTATTACTGGTCCATTCCATCTGACAATAGCAAGACATCAGGCATAAAAAAAACTCCACACCCACAAAAGGCCATGAAATATTAGGGCTGTGCTAAGTGTTCAAAAGAGGTGCTTTGCGAAAAGTGTTAAGGCAAATAAAAGTTCCGCTTTTCAGACTGTTAAAGCAGCCGTGTCTTTTGGAAGACTCTTTTGGCATCTTCCAAAACTGTTTCCTGTGGTCTGTGTAAGCTTCTGTTGAGGCCACCAATGAAGCAAAGTGGCTGTAGGCACCCAAACATATACTGTATTGTACTGAGAGAAAAGAGGACAGCTTTGGAAGCAACTGCACAAAGGCTACTTTCACAATTCAGATGGGTGTTTCTTTCATAGTATTGTGCATCATAAAACACCTCTTCTGAATGCTTTGCCCAGCCCTAGTACATATTTCCAAATCTTGCTTAAATAGTATGCTGTTATCACTCACAAAATATCTCATATTTTCAATGCAGACCAAAAAACAAGACAAAAATGGAATGAAAAGAAGGTGGCGAGAAGAAGAAAGGGAATAATTTAAGAGGCTCCTCCCCTGCCTCCACCTTAGTAGATCCCTTTTGTGACTGCTAATACCAAAAAGAAAGTTAGTACCAACCTTGACTTCTGGGTGATCAGGAGCCACTCCAAAACGAACCAAGCCAAACGGAACTGGCAACTTCTCATAAATATCCACCTGAGTCTGTTTGTGATGCTGGAGAAGACATCCCAAGTCATTAATGCATTTAAGAAAAAATAAAAAGGGTATGTTGAATTGGGTCCTTTAACAGCAATGAAACCCTCCTTTAAATCTAACTCTCCAAGTTTCAAACAATTGAAAAGGGAATGTAGGATTATCGTTTTGCTACAGCTACATATATTTACAAATGGACTGGAAGTTTTCTCTACAATCATTTCTACACAGCAGATTCTCCACAATTTTAGCATTCACAGAACCCACACCATCACTGAATTTGATGCCCTATCAAAGCAGAAACCTGTGTTGGAAATCAATATTATTGCTTACACTTAACATTTTCCTGAATGTTATGCTATTTTACCACAGTCAAGGATTATCTCAGGTCTAGCTTTTCTGCTGAAACCAAGAGATATTTCTTACATTAAAAGACAGAGAGAAAATGTCCCAAACATAGATTCTAGATTTCTTGATCCAGCTTTTAGAAAAATGCCACATACAACTAATTGATGTAAGATTTGCCTCTACTTTCCCTTTACCTGTCTCTCTCTCTAATTTTTTAAAATACACAGAAAAGTTGTATAAATATATTTCAGATAAATGAATAAAAAGCATTCATGCCATATCTTATATTCATCAATAACTCTGTAGCAGCCAATTGCAAAGCAACAGAGCCCCCAAGAAGATGCAGAGTGTCAAAGGAGTAACTGTTGAACTTCCTGCTAGTGGGTAGCATTTATTTATTTAGCATATGGCACACAATGTCAGGGAAATCTACACATGCAGTCCTGACAGTCTAGATTGCTCACTTATTCTGTTTGGCGCTTACGCATCTATCCATGGTGCACTGTAAGGGGTGAAGTAGCTTTACACCAATTAACTAGTGGCGCTCAGGTTGCTGTTTCTTCCAGGCTTCTCCATCAGTCTCCCCACATCTTGCCTTGTGTTGCAATGCCTCGTGTCTTGCCAGGACCAGCCCAGGCTTCCATTCTCCGCACACTCAAATATAGCTAGGTTTTTCCCCACCAAACTGGTAGCTACTGTATTTATCTATTAGCAATATTGCATGCTTTCGAACTGCTGGGTGGTAGGAGCTAGGGATCAAGCAATGGGAGCTCACTCTATCTCACAGAGCCGAGCTCAAACCGCTAGAGTGCAGATCATTTCTGCCCAGCAGTTTCAGTGTCATTAAGCCAGGAGATCACCCCAAGTTTTAACCAAAATATGGACCAAAGTTCTGCTGCGAACTCTGCATTGGCAACAGGAAGGGCATCCGGCCAGTAAACACTCAGCTCCATTCAGTTGCCCCGACTCCACCCCGATGTAAAGGATTACGGAGTAATTAAAAGACACCCTCCCCCCAAAAAATATGGACCAAATCCATACTTATAAAGGATTCAACAAGGCAAATGTGTTTAAAGAGAGAAATATACCCGTCCTATTGGTGTACATATTTGTTCAATGCATTTTAGAAAGGTACCATAATTGAATTTACAATTACAAAATCATAGTATTAAATAGGACAGATTTGCAACAGTGACGTGAACTATGAATTACCAAATGCTTCCATCTCTATTGATAATCCTCCCTATTACAAAAGCAAAATGATTGCAATCTAGTTTAAATATTGTGGTAAATGTCCAGTATTACATGAACATTAGGCAGGCCTCTGTCCTCCTGGCGTGGCTTTTCCCCAAGTGTGAGATAAGATTGGATGACAGCACATTAGAAGCTTGACTTGGCACCAAATTTTTGTTGTTTTTAATGTTTCAATTAGTTCAGGTTTATAGTTTTAATATGGTGTCATTTGTTGTTTTAATTTTTGAGTGGAAGCCACACAGAGTTGGTTAGAAGATAGACAGTTATATAAATTGGATGGATGGATGGATGGATGGAGGGATGGATGGGTGGATGGACGGAGGGACGGACGGACAGACACCTTAGATACCTGCAAGTGTTCTCCCTACTTTCTCCCTCGCTGCAATTATGAGAAAGAAATCAAAAGCTTTATGTCTATTTTAGCTAGCAATTATTTATTGCTATGAACTTGGTTGTATGATTTGAATTAATTACAGTTCAGGAAACAAGGTGATAAACCATGTTTAGAATTTTAATTTCTCCCTCAGAAAATAGCTATAGACAATTTGTCCAGGTTTTGGAACACACAGCGGATAGAAAATAGAAATGAAATTTGCTGATTGGGTTCTTCTAAAAGAGGAGAGGGAAATGTACATTATAGGTCAGTGATGGTTAACCTTTTCCGGGCCGAGTGTCCAAAGCAGACACAGGAGTTTGCTAGTGTTAACAATCAATCTAACTTGTGTAGAAAAATAACACTGTCTGACTGATTGTATTGTATTGTATTATAATAAATTTCAATTAAAAAAAAGATTACCTAGAATCTCAAGGCTGTAAGCTAACTAGGGAAGTAAAAATAAATAAATGAACCCCTTGAGGGCCTCTTTACTTTTAATTATGACTACATGCTCTCAAGACAGCCAGTTGTGTGTATAAGCTAAAGCAGGGTGTCAAACTGGCAGCCTAGGGGCCGGATGCGTCACACGCAGGCCATACCCCTCAGTGGTGGGTTGCTACCAGTTTGCCCCGGATAGGGCAAACTGGTAGTGGCAGCGGGAGGCTCTGCCCACCTGCCTGGACGTCTCTGCGCATGCACAGAAGTGTCGTGTGCACCCACGAACAAAATGGTAGTGGCCAAAATTGAAACCCACTACTGATACCCATCCCAGCTCCGTTAATGGAAAAAATGTCACAAAACATCACGTGATGGCAACGTGACACCACAAGTTTGACATCTGTGAGCTATGGCAACAGGCAAGAAACCAAAAAACCATGACATCTAGCCCACCTTCAGCATAATGCTAATTGGGTGATCTTGGGCCAGTCCCTTTCTCTCAGCCCTAGGAGGGAGGCAATGGCAAACCACTTCCAAAAAACCTTGCCAGGAAAACTGCAGGGATCTGTCCAGGCAATCTTTAAGAATCAAACACGATTGAATGGAAGGGGAAAATACTCTCTACTAACTTGCTGCCTTACATAATTCAAGCATGCAGTAACAGAGACAGTTGACCCTCTTAAGCTATCACAGCCTTTAGGTGACCTCAATGTTACACATCAGCCAAATCTCTTTCATATGATCAAGACAGAATTACTTTATGGAAGAATCTGACAGAAACAAATATCTACCATTATTTTGTTATAATTTCATATTATACTGAATTATTTAAGTGGATTATTTATTTTATTCATGTCCCCCATCTCACATAAATGACTCTTCTGAAAGAATTATAGAATTTGCATTCTAAATCAAACATTCTAGCATTCAGTTCTATCAATACTGTTTATTACATTTTTTCCTATTGTCTTTGCATCTTCAAATATATCAAATATTTAAGATTATTTATTTAATTCTGTTTGGACATTGCCTGACTCCAACTGAGATTGGGCAGTTCACAAATAGTATTGTAAAAAACAATACCAGCCAAAAGAATGATGGCATCTGGGCACAATATACAAACAAAAAACAAAAATTAAAAACACACCCTGGGGCCCCATCTGTCTCAGTCTGGGAGATCAACCAGATCTTCACGATTTACAAAACACCAACACAGTGGGAGCCACACAGATTTCAGGGGGACCTCATTCTGAAGGTCAGGGACCCCAGCAGAGAAGACACAGTTCCAAGGTATCAAGGTAAAAGATGCTGACAGGTACTCTGGTTATGGCACCAGTCTAGAAAAACAGAAATCTGAATTCTAATCCTGATCAAATGTTTAAGATTATTTATTTAATTTTGTTTGGACATTGCCTGACAAAGTTAGCTGGGTAATCTTGAGTCAATCACTCTCTCAGCCCTAATAAAGAAGCAATGGCAAATCACTTCTAAAACACCTTGCCAAGGAAACTGCATGGAATAATCCAGACAGTCACGTGAAGTCAACAATGAAGACATGGATGGATGGATGGATGGATGGATGGGTGGATGGATGGATGGATGGATGAATAAATGAGTGAACGGTTTAAGTGAATAGACCTGGAGTACCACCTCTGCTGGTACTCACCAGCCCAACACAAACCATGACAGACCTCCAAGGAACATGGCCTATGCCTTTAGTCACACAGCTATATCAACAGCATCTTAAATTAAACCTGCAAGCAGATTGGCAACCAGTGCAGCTCATGAAGCAGAGTTATTACATGAGCATAATATTTTTAAAGAATGCACTATTTGTCAGTTTAACAAAATTAGGGGTATAAAACTTCTTGATGTGCTAATAAAATGGCAACTGCAAAACAGAATTCCTTTCTATCAGCTGGATGAATGACATTAAAACTTCCTGAAACAAAATAAGTCAGTTTAAAGTTATGCCCATTAATCTGGAAATAAAGCCTTTATTTCCTTCTCTTTGGAACTCTCTGCAATTTATTACGGGTAGCAACCAGGGAAATACCAAAATCAGGGATAGGCAAAATGTTTTCTGTGTGAAACAGCTTTCAGGAAATATCTGCCCAAACCTATTTGAGAAGTTGTACTTCAAACAAAACAAGGTTGTTTCTTTCTGGATATGGACCCAAACAAGTAGCAATGAACTAAAATAGCAAAGGCATTCAAGAATTCAGAAATTCAAAAAGGGGCACATTTTTTTCACAGAATTGTAGGAACTTCAGGTGTTTACTGTTAAGCTCTTGAAATGTGTAACGAAGAAAAATTAGATTTAATGAGCTTGTGAAGACAGAGAGCTCAACAGAGTCCCGATCATTCTCAGATTTTTTTCCCCCTGAATATTCAGAAGACAGGCATGCCTTCTGCAGCAAAAAGCTGTCCCCAAAAAATTGTTTTTATTGTCAGTATCCAGCTATGCTTTAACTATATTGGTTATCCATATACCATTTTTTCCATGCCTTTGAGTCAGCCTTGAACCTGGGAAACTGCTTGGATTGGTCTTTGCCATATTTGTGGCAAGATTTCAGAAGTGGTTTGCCACTGTCTGCTTCCTAAA